CGTGGAATTCATGGAATTCTCGCCGTTATGTATTGGATATCAATTACAAGGGCCCCCCCCGAAAATGGTCATGGGTTCAATTCCCACGGGTGACGCGGTCACGGGCCCCCACATTAGAGGCACACTTTCCATGAGGGAGATGTCCCTGTAGTCCAGCATAATTGGTTTGCTTCAGCTTCAATAACAGTTGCTGCAAGGGGTTTTAAAAAGGGGTTTTAAATAAACCCCTTTTCGTGCATCATTTCACGCTGCACAAGACACCGTATCATGCAGTCATGCTCTGGATAAAATCATCTTAGACTGCGCAAAAAAGTTTTTGGTGTATCATCTTAGGGGCGCAACATTTTGACACCACTCCTCTCCCACTACACTACCTTTCGTCCGCCTCCGCCTGCTCTCAAGTAATATATGATATTGCCAGAATTCCCCAAGTTTTGTAGGTCATCGCCAGCTTGCGCCACTTCCGCGACCTCCTACTGGAGCTGGACGCGGCCACAACGCCAGTGGCAGAGCTGCGGCGCCTCTATGGGCGGCTGCAACAAATGGCGACCAGCGCGGTGGGGACGAAACGGGTGGAAACTGCTGGGCTTCTGTGGGTGATGTTGGTTTTGTAATAGATGGTTTTAGACGTTATAAGATTTGAAATAATATGAATATGTACTTGATGTACATATGTATGTGTAATATATATATATTTACAAAGGTATTGTTTTGATTGGTTATTGTTATTGTTATATAATTACTGTCTATTAAATATGTGATTGTGCTTAGACAAGACCACACAGTACTGTTGTCCTTGTGCGAGGAAGATTTGTTGACGATTGGGGGGTGTTGATTGTAGATGAAAGTTCACGCAGGCATACACTTCAACCATATTTTGAACTCTCAGACTCTCGGTCGCGCCTAGTTGCAGGTTGTCGCAAACTATTGGACATTGAAACTGCAAGAGCTTCATCAAGATGCACAGACGGTATCAGCTGATGAGATCGCCTTTGCCTTGCTGAAATGGCTGGAAGAACTCTTAGGATGCGATGCCTCCGAGGCCTCTGAGGACGGGACCGAGCTGGAAGCTCGAAGTCTTTGCATCTTTGGGTATCTTATGTTATCCTTGGGTATATCTTGTTATCTTGTGTCTATCTTGTGTCTATCTTGTGTCTCCAAACAATAACGGTTTGATCATGTTTGATCCCCTCTTCACATGTCATGACGAAGGTCCAGATGAGAGCACTTGCAAACATCTCCAGGATGAGTTCATGGATGAGCCAGAGCAAGAGCGGCAGCCAGAGGTTCGTTGAAGCAGCAAGAAATGTTGGGAGAGCTGGCTTGCAATTCTGTTTAGTTTAGAACACAACCGCTGCCTGTCGCATATCGGGGGTTTCCTCAAATGGGGACCCCCAAACCACGGGGTCGGTAGCCTGAAGTGTCGCAGCATCCGGAGGCTGCTGCATTGCGTCTTGCAACGCCCCAGGAGGCCAGTGGGTTTCTGATGTTGTAACTTATACTGTGGTGAAGCCGATAATGAAGTATCTTCAATATCACCATAAACGGGTGCTTTGTCTTTGGGTTTACCGCACTACACTTGATATTTCTAGGGCAATTTTGCAACCCTGCTGTGGATCTGATGTCTGGACGTGTAGGCGACTTCTTCAGGCGGGGTGCATGGGGCGCTGCTAGGACTGTGTGGGTCATGAGCTGAAGACTTCGAGGCATGTCTTTGAAAATAGACTTTGCTGCCGCATGTATTTCACCATTGTTAAACGTACTTTTTTCATGGGCGCCTTGCATGATTATAGTTTCTTGACATGCAAGTCAGACATGGTAGTGTGCCAAGAGCTCCAGCCGGGCCCTTTCCTGCTTGGCAGCTTTCATGCAGCAGTTTTTCCCTTGGCGGTGGTTTTTAGCTTTGCTGCCACCGTCCAAGTTTCTTCTTTTTCAACCGGCCTTGCGACCACACACCAACCACTGATGTGTCACCGCTGGAGAGCTATGTTTATTTCTAGTCGTTTCACTCGTGTATGCCATTGCAATGGAGGGTTTGGTGATTTTGTGCCACAGATTTTCACCTACAGGCTTTTTGTACAGGATCTAAATATTTTCTTCAAACGGGTGTCCGAGGGTCAAATCTGTGATACTGCCGCTTGGATCTTACATTGCTATGGGTTTGGGATTGTGGCGAGTCCATATTGCTCCAGCGTCACCAGCGTCCGCCTTTTTCGCGACAGGATGGTCTTGGCTGGGTCGAGCTTCCACCCCGGAGGCCTGGATGACTGGGTCCGCTGTCAGGGGGCTGTCCCTGATTTCGGAGCCAGGTGACCAGCTTTCGCCAGAGGATGTTAAGATTACTGCCGCGTGAAGCCACTGAAGCCCCTTGACCAGCACGGAAGGTAGTCTTATGTGGAGATCGGTCAATGGGCAAACAGCAAAAAGAAGCCTTGATGGACAATATTTAACGATTTTTGATGTATTTACAATTCGAGTTGTGTTTATCCAAGCTCAGCATTCCTTCTCACGTGTGTTCAACATTTGATGTGATTTGCGTGGATTTGAGCCATGTTGGCACCAAGGACCATGTATTGCTTCACTTTTACCGTGCAGTGCGTGCTCGGGCCCTGGCAATTTCTGTGGATGCGTTCATGTCACTGGCAAACCCAAAAACGGAAACTCGCCTCCCTTGGAGGATGCGCTTGATGCCGGGCAAATAGGCCATCTTTGCTGCCCACTTGGGTGCGACGGCCATGAGAGTGATCCCAGAACAAAATCAGATGTTGCACACACACACACAACCCACATACAACCCACATCCACGGTCAAAAACAGTTGCTCACAAGATTGAAAATACTTAGATTATGTTTGGACATTTTTGTGGTGGTTTAGTTCTATCCATCAAGTCCTGCGGAAAATTCAACACCCTGAACTGCAGGTAGAAAGCTATGCAGCTCATACTTGCTCATATGGAGGTTTCCTAAAATGGGGGGGTACCCCTCAATCATCAATTCACAGATGGATTTTCCATGAAATAAACTATCCAGCTATTGGGGTATTCCCATTTTATGGACAGCCCCATATGTGGTAGACACTGCGGCCAGGCAGTCCTTGCAGCCATGAACGTCTCCGAGTGACTCGGGTGGCTTGGATATGAATGGGTGATCGGATCATCGCTTTTCAAAAGCCTTGGTTGATGATTTGCTGGGGAGATTTTTCTACCCTTGCTGGGGGGATTAGAAGAATCCAATGATTTCCAGGAAAATGACGCCAAGGCCATCATAGGCCATCATGCCGCAGATCACCAACCCGAATTGGGCCGTTCAATTGATATGATTTTGGCGACAGCCATGATCACTTTTTGGAGTGACCGCCTCAAATCAACCAGGGCTAAAATCGTGGACCTTTCTCCACCTCTCTCTCTCTCTCTCTACGTGTCTATAGCTGGGAAGTAATACTTATGTGTATGTGGAGGTTTCCTAAAATAGGGCTCCCCCCAAATCATCCAACCTGATTTTCAGATTTTCCATGAAATAAACATAAATAAACCATCCAGCTATGGGGGTCCCTCCATTTCAGGAAACCATCGCTGAATTTCTGCAGGCTTCTCTCCGGGGTGGTGTCGCCCTGCTCGAGAGGGTCGCCCTGAGGGAGGTGCCGCTGAATTTCCCAGGGGTTTACAGCAAGAGATGGGGGATTGAATGGGGATTGAATGGGATGTTATACCAGGGAAGTAGTATATATATATATGTATATATGGTATAACAATCAATCCTAACATACTTAAAAATCCCAATTAATTCAACATCACTTCACTTTTTAGGCAAGTAGTACCAACATTGATTGGCACTGGGAGACCTGAAGATGAAGGACTTCATCCCATGGCCATTGAAACAAGGGAAAAAGGTGGTTACCCTTTGGTAAACTAACGTAACTATGGAAAATCACCTTTTTTAATGGGTAAATCCACTATAAATGGCCATTCTCAATAGCTATATTAAATTACCAGAGGGTAATCATGTTTACCAACATTTTCAGACACACATCAATGATTTTGAATGATGGGGACGCAACATATCATTTACCAGCACGAGGTGCGAGTAGCGTTCCGCCAGCTACAAAGGCTCTCCTTGCTGCCGCTTTGCTTTTTGAGTGTTGCAAGGTGCTGTGGTCAGACTTTTGCCAGATTTGCATATTCATCACAAGATGTCGCTATCGCTTCTCGCATTCCCTGATATTTTTGCGCAATTGGATCCGACTTCGGACTTCTGACAATGGCAGGGCTATGCGGAGACCCAGGCGCTAACCTGTAGAACGAGATCAGTGACCCAAGGAAGGGCAGAATGCCCCAACGTAGGACATTGAATTAACCATCAACAAGCGGCAAGCTGCTTCAATTCCTTTAAAAACACTGTTTGTATGCATCCTTTGGACAGTTCTCCTATTTTCAGTTGTGACTCAGAAGGTTGTGAAGACTTTCGTTGCTAAATCTGATTTCTGCTGCTGCTTCAGCCTGGTGCGTCGTGATTCCGCTATCGCACCACGGCCCAGCACACCTCGCTCCGAGGCTGGTTTGGTTTTCTTTCATGATCAGCCGGTGCTGTTAGAACACGATCAGCTGGCTTCGCCATGGTTTGCTTGGGGACCTTTGCCTTTGGATACCTTTGGATACCTTTGAAAGGCTTATCAAATTCAGCCCCAGGGAACTTTCGGGAAGGGGATGCCACAGCCAGGGATGTGGAATCATGGCCGGTCTGGTCTGCAGCCAAGCCCTGGCAGCTCAGGCCGGGGACGATGCTGACCAGGGAAAATGAGACTTCTCAGTGATTGGAGATGAGAGTTGAATGACCAGAATGAACTGGGTAAGTTTGGGCAACTATGGCTAGCTTATGGTAGCTGAAGAGCACATGTTGACATGTTGGAAGGTCTTGGACCGCCGTGCCAACCTGGCCCCCAGAGCTTTCTACATGGCCTGGCTGCTGGAAAGAGCCGAAGACTCTGTGAAGACAAAACGTGAGATCCAGGGGATTGGAAGATCGTTGCAGCTGAGTTTTGGTGACTTTGAAGCTTTCGATTCTTTTTTCTCCCCATGCTGAAAACCAGTGGGGATGAATCAATGCCTACGGGACCATTGCAAACCAACATACTGCAAACCCATATTTGGGGATGGTGAGGGCCCCCATTCACATGTATACAGTAATATATATATACACATTATATATAATGCAGATATATACAGATATCAATAGACATATAGACCTAGACACCATGTATCCGAACAAGGAAAATTGGAGATTTAGTATCTGGACTAGCCCATTTATTTGATATAAGGTATGGAGATCTTCAATACTATTTATAGTATATATATAATGTGTATATATTATATATTATATATATATATTATATTATATATTATATATTATATATTATATATTATATATTATATATTATATATTATATATTATATATTATATATTTTCTTTTTTTTTATCATATCGAGTATAATCCATTCATGTAACATAACCCATATAAACAAAACAATTACATCTAGCATCGGTGGTGAGGTGGTCATTTCTCCGAGGCCCGACGTCGTTGCTTGGTCTCCGTCCTGAGCATCCTCCGGCACGGCGCGCGGAAGAAGGTGTCCGTTGGGGGCCCCAAGGTGTTCGCCGTTGAGGCCGAGAATCACCAGAGTTGAGTGGAACATCATCCAACATCTGGATATCTTGGCAGGGTCTATGTTAATTTGGAGGATAAGCAATGAATTATAGAGGTTTCATGGGTTTTTCATGATCAAAGACATGAAATCTATTGAAACAAAACTGATAAATGTGGTTGATGTGGTTGATATACGGGCTTATTATCCTAACCGGTTTATTGGGGATTATGATTTTATGGTAGTTCATAAAATACCTGTTTAAATTGTAACAGTAGTCCATGGGATGGGATAGGGGTATTTTCACATAGCTCAGTTGAAGAGATCTTAGCCCTTTGCCTGATGCAAATCATTGGCTAGTTGGAAACAATATAGACTGATGTAGTATCACATAGATTTTGACATAGATTCTGACAGGTGATCTTTGATGTTCAACACCATGTTCCTCCTTGCAGTTCCAGTGACCACCCAGTGGTGGCTCCGGCCCAGGAGTCCCCGACCCGCCGATTGGTGAGGCCTCAGCCGGCTGTTCCTAAACAGGTGCCCTGGGCCATGGCGCTTGACATTCAAAGACATGGCTCCCCTTGAGAGCCCAAGCTCTGTCCAGTCCAGTGGAGGCATCTTCTTCCCCCAGTCGACTTCCGGGCAGGTCGCCGGATCCCAGATGGTTGGATGGGAAGTCACCTGGTGCTATGGATAGGAGTTGATAGAAGGTTGCAGAGTATTTACGCACTTTGATAGTTAGATGCTACCCTATCACTTTGATACTTATGATATGTTATGATAGATAGTATGCAGTTGATAGTTAGATAATTACCAGTTACCATGGTTTACACCCTTTCTGCTTGAAACAATTTCTGTCAAATTCTGAGGGGACTTTGACGTCTGGGGAGTGGACTGTGAAGTAACATTGTGCACGATGGCATGGACGTGTTTTGCAGGTCCAAGACACCACCGACAAAGACTGCAATCGTGTAAAAGCGCGAATGCGGTGCTGAAAATGACCGCTGCAAATTGGTGACTTCAAGGCGTCCAAAGCCTCCCACTTTTTTTTTGCATTTACAGACAAGTCTCTCATGCTATGCAGAAAAAGTCTTTGGGTGTTGATGCGAAACTAGGTGAAAAGTGCTTCGGAACTTGCTCACTTTTCAGAGGGGTCCATAGGCTGACCCAGGAACTTGAGAATATCCTTGATTGGCTTCAGCTTAATTAGATCAGAGCGCAAATGAACTGATGGAACTCAGGAGGGGAAAAAAAGCGCTAGACAAATCATGACAAACCCACAAACAAATTCAAACAAACCCATAAGACCACACAGTAGCTGATCCAAAGACCACACAGTACCTCCCAAACCATCACATCGTATGAAGCGAACGAGAACCATTTCGAACGTAAAGTCTGACTTCGATCATGGAGGCGAGCAGAGACCCAGGGCGCGATCCGCGATCGTTATTGAGTTGTGCCAGATGCTCAATTCTTGCGGATAAACAGCTGACCACCTGGAAGTACTTCTTCATGTAACCACATTTTTTTGAAAAGAGTAGGCTTTACTTGGAATTGTTTCTTGTGATGTGTAGCTTGTGTAGAATAGCAGCTTGGTTTTGCGAAGTCAGTTGCAAGTTGAGGTGAATGGCTTCCACCCAAAAGCTTTGGTTTTCGTGTCTGAGAAACGATGCGCCTTCGCTGCTGGGAAGCTCATTGTGGAAATGGATGTGGAGTCCAAGAAACAGAGGTCACCAGGGTCCACCCGGGAGTGGATGCTGAAGTTGTCCGAACAGCTCCGGTCCTGGAGCTGTTCAAGTAGTGCGAATGCAAAGGTCGAAAGACCTGGAAAGTCCGGTAACTTCTTTGTCAAAGGAGTCCGGAAAACAGATGTCTAGGATTTGGATAACAAGGATGGATTTTTGAACAAGGTCTGGATGTTTGGATACCTTTCACAAAAGAAACCACCGCTGTGCCTCGCCGGCAGTGCCAGGTTTGTGCAGGGACACAGTGCGACTGTGACTTGCATCACCCATTCGGAGCAACAAGCGCTGGGAGCATCGGGGCAAGTGCTGCGATCTGGCGCCAAGTGGGCAGAAGTCTTGCTTTGGGATTCAGAATCCTTGGAGATTTGCGCCTGCTTTTCATTCCACCAGGCGCATGGGTTCCACTTTTTGTTTCTTTATTTTCTGGCTGGTGGGATTTCATCATTTCCACAGCTTTTCATCGGTTTCTTCAAAAATGCTTTTGGGTATCACAACTTTTTCACCTCTTCGCCGCCTGATCAGGCCAATGTTGTCGCTTGCTTGAATGCTACTTTTAAAGGTGCTTTCTGGTACTTGTGTGATTTGTGTGTTTGTTGATTTTGTTAAGGTGTCGTGTGGACTCATTTTCATTTGACTTCAAACTCTTCAGTTTTTGCGATTTTGCAACTTGCCTCAAATCTTCAATTCCACATCCGAAGACCGTCCTGGAACTCTAATTTGGCACCTAACGTGGCCGCAGCCAAGGAAGCTGTTGGTTTTGTCCAAGACGGTGAAGTCCTGGTGTCCATCGGTTCCGACCGCGATCGAACCATGGCCTTATGGCCGGCGGCGCGAGAAGGATGTTTTCGGATTGGAAGGAAAGAAGGAGTGCCCTTGGCCCCTCGGCTCCAGTCGGCTCCAGTTGCACCAAGAACTTACAGCTGTGATTCTGCCTCAAATCCTGAAGGATCTGAAGGTCTGAAAGGTGCAAGCTGCCAGGTGTGACGTCCATTTTTCAGCGGAAGTTCCGTCCCCAAGATGTTATAAAAAATCTAAGGTGTGTATTCTCCCAAGGTTCCAGGTTTCTTCTCTGGTTCCCAGGCAGTATGCTCTGCGTACAAGGGAGGTGCCATCAGTGGCATCGCTGCAGCTCCGGGCAGCAGCGACCTGCCGATGCTCTTTGCGAGCTACGGGGTGCAGCACATCAAGTTTTGGCGCAGCCCGCGCTCCGGACGCCTGTCCCAAGCCATTGAGGGACGCCGTGGTGCCTTTGGATCTGACGGGGTGCCCAAGATGATTCTTTGTGCCGTTTGGGTGTCTCGAGACCGCCTGGTGGCTGGGGGCAACAATGGTGACTTGACTTGAGGATGCGCTCTTGGGGTCGGGTTACACACCTTAATGGACTCTTGATAGACCTTGCATTGCAGTTGCCTTTGCTACAACATTATGCTTGTCGCATGGTCTTGTCTTGACCCTTTTGCACCAGGTGAAGTGTTTTTCTTCCACGGGAGTCGAGCTGTTCGCAAAATGGAGCCTCAGTCCTCTCCTGTGGCCTGCTTGTTGCCACTGCGGGAGAGTCTGGCGGTCGTTTCTCAGCCTCAAGTGATCATCAGTGATCCAAATGTTTAGGACCTTTTGGCCCTGTCAAACATAGAAGACATCAACTGCTGCACATGGTTAGTAGCCCTGCCAATGGTCGCCTCCAAGGTTCATGGCAACGGCATGTGCCACTTTCTGCATGGCGGAAAGACGACAGATGTGGAGTTTTCCAGCGTTGCAGGGTGGCCAGGTCCTCGCTTTCGGACACAGCTGGTGTCAGGCACATGGGATTCTGAAGTGTTGATTGTTCACAACTCAGAACAGCCTATATATAGGGTCTACATATAGGACCCACGGATAGGATCTACCTATAGGGTCTAGAACAAAAGCGGCATCGTTGGATCTATAGGTGCCACTATGATATGGGGTTGTTTGAAAATCGGGGAGTGATCTTTAAATTCTGGCCATTTGAAGGGGCATAATATGCATATATATATATAAATACACATACATATGGTATTCACACGTGAAAATTCGGGGGTCCCCTGTTTTGAGACAACGCCATTTTTTTTGGAGACGCTGATTCAGGGTTTCTGGCTGTACAAGGTGCGTGGAAAGATAGGCAGCTGCTCTTGTCCTCAAAGACGCATTTGATCTACTTGGCTACTTGGCAGAGTTGCATCACTATTTGTTCATATTTGTGCATCTTCTGGGAATCAGATTGGAATCAGGCCAAACAAAGAGCAAAAGATTTTGACCATTCTGCGACCTACGGTGGATGGAAGAAATCCTGTACCAGTTTGTAACTATTGACTATCGGTAACTATGAAACACTGTAATTAATGGGATCATACGGGGACAACCCATCTATCAACTGGTGCAGGATTTCTTCCATCCACAGTACCATCTTCAAATCCGACATGGGAATCATCAACTTTTACCTTGCAATCTGGATGTTGAAACACCCACATAAGGACCTGAGCAATGGTCTACCACGTGCCACATGCAAGCCCCTGGTATCACAACCAGCTGCTGCGTTAACCTCAGTGGCAAACCATCCAGTGGCGCCACGAATCTACACCGCCGCGCTCGATGGCTTAGTGCGTTGCTATGATGTCAAGGACCGCTGCGACCAACCTGTTGGGCTTTGACGGGCTTTGTTCATAGGGCCGGAAAGCCATGACTGCGCCTTGCTGTTATGCTGTCTTTTCTTTCTGGGGGAATGGGGTCATGGATCCTTAGAGTCCGTTTGCATTGAACCACATTGATTCATATTGATTCTATTTTGCCCGATTGAAGGAACAAATTATTTGTTGAGCTACTACATCAAGGCATGTCAGTGACATAAATATGAATCTGATCCTCAGAGTTTGATCCTGTTCCATTCGCAGGACATGACGCAGTTGGAACAGCGAAGCTTCCATGGCTCCAGCCAGGGAGTCACCTGCCTTGCCATCTCTGGTGCAGCAGATGAGGAGAGCTCAGCATGGCTCGCTGTAGGATGCGACTTGGCAGATCCAAACTTGGTGGCGTTGGATGCTTCCAACGAGTTGCGAATGTTGCAACATGAAAGGTATTGAAAGGTCATAGTTTTTGTACTTTGGGGCCCAAAGGGGTCATAAATTTCAAGCACCTCCGCGCCATACGATGCCATGCGGCCCCCACATGTTCTTACAGTATGTTGCAGTCAAAGTACGGTGACGCGAAACCAGCTGTGCCCAGGCAGCGATTCCACTTTGTCCATCATGAGCGAAAACTCCTACCAATATGTCCTCAGAAGGACTGTTTCTCAAGTGTGGGGGACCCTGATAGAGTGCCAACATGCAGTCTGTTGACGATGTGTGATCAGCTTGCGACTTTTCGTGCCAGTCAATGATAGAGGTAGCTGCTAAACGAGGGGACATAAAGAGCTCTTGGAAGTGCAGCCAAGTTGGAAAGGGGTTAATAAAGTTGACAACACTAAGAATCATGGCTGTAAGTTTCTAAGTTATCACCCATGCATGATATTTACCCCCAGTTACGTGTGGATTGTTGCCCCTGTGCCAAAATTTCATCCAAAATCACCCCCTCCAGTGCTAGGACTCTGTCAGGCAGCAAAGCCAAGCTGACCTGCGCCAAGTTCTCCTCAGTAGATATGTCCGGGAAGCATCCCCTGTGGCTGGCGGTCGGCACAGATGATGGGTGCATCCATACATTCCGTTTCAAGGAGCGTCAAGTTGGATGGCTTAGTCCCAAACAATAAGGGGGAGAAGTTGGGAGTATCCTCGATTTTCAGATACATCGAAATCAACAGGACTCCTGAATGAGGAGGTTTGAAGCTCACAATAGAGACAATGCAAACCTTCTTTGAGTTGTTGCTTCCAGGGTTTTTGTTGTAATCGCCTACTTTCGAAATGATGAAACTGATGAAACCATTGTGGTTTATGCACACCTTGACCTTGAAATTTGACAGCTGAGGAGCCTTGCTGTCGGAGCTCAGCCTACACTGGGATGCACACTGGTGAGGAGGTGGTCAGCAAGGTCGCCACCTTGCGTGGCCACGAGGCTCCCATCGTGGACATTTGTTTTGCTGAAACATGGCTGGAGCACTGGTGAATCATTGGCCATTGTGGGCTTTTCCCCATTTCTGGGGAAATCCACATGACTGACATGATGGTATCACAGTAAAGGCTTTTCACAGATTTCACAGGGAAACCAACAGCAGCAATCAGCTTCTCAGCTTGGCTAAGTGCCAAGGATACTTTGCCTTGCAACTATCTGATCAGTGCGGACCTGTCCGGGAAGGACAGGGCCTGGATGTATAGCCAGCGGCCACAATCACAGGTAGTTGGTTCAAATGGCCTTAAGTCAGTTCAGTGGTCAAAAGTTGGATGATATATACCCAGTTCTTGGCGGTCATCAAATTTCTTAGGGATTTCTATACCCATTATATATGTTTGAATTCACATGGCATTGGATGTGGGTGACCGGGCCCTTAATTCTCATTGTCATATTATCCCCATTATGATCCCATTGTTGATGGTTAAATCCCATTATTGTCCCATTCATATCAGATTGATATTTAATGTTTTCCTGTATATTGTTGGTTATATAATGTGAAGTCTACACATCTAAGTCATGTATATATATATATATAATAATATAATATAATATAATATAATATAACATAATATAATATAATATACAATATAATATATAATATATAATATATAATATATGATATATTATATATAATATATAATATATAGTATATAATATATAATATATAATATATAATATTAATATATAATATAATAATATATAATATAAAATAATATAATTTGATTTAATATAATACAATATGATATAATATATATAATAATATAATATATGTATATATATATAATAATAAAAATATATATTTAATAATATAATAATATAATATAGTATAATATAATAAAATATAATATAATATAATATCTGAATATAATATAGTATATATATAAATAATGTAATATTTATATACATATGTAATATGTATATAATATGTCTATAATATAATTTATATTATAATATATATATAAATGTAATATATAATATATTACAATATAATATGATATAATATAATGTAATATAATATAATACAATATGATATGTATATATTATCATGATATAATATGTATCTATATATAATATTATCATTATATATAATATTATCATTATATATATATTATCATTATATATATATTATCATTATATATATATATAATCATTATATATATATTATCATTATATATATAATCATTATATATATTATCATTATATAAATATATATATATATATTATCATTATATATATTATCATTATATATATATTATCAGTATATATATATATATTATCATTATATATATATTATCATTATATATATATATTATCATTATATACTATCATTATATATATATATCTAATATACTCATATATATATATTATCATATATATATATTATCATATATATATATTATCATATATATATATATATTACATATATATCATCATATATATATATCATTATCATATATATATATCATCATATATATATATCATTATCATTATATATATAATATATTATCATTATATATATATATTATCATTGTATATATATAGATATTATCATTGTGTATGTATATATATAAATTATGTTCATTCTATAGCCATAAGATTTAGGTTACACAAAGCCATATACCCATTATGACCGGGGGCCCCAGGAGTTAGCCTTCGATGTGCCCATGGCCCGACGCCTGCCCACCATGACATTGGTGCCTGAGAGTATCCGAGCGACCACCCATTGATGGTGAAGATCGTTTTTATGGTTTTATAGTTTTGTGTTTCTTATTTATTCATGTATGGATGCATGTATGTATTTATTTATTTAAATCATGTATTTACTTGTTTATTCATCTAGTTGTCTTTTATGTATCACTTACGTTTGGGTTTACATGGTGCGCAACATGATGAGATACCACAGATCCATGGGACTGTTCACGTCCACTTTGGCTGCAGGATTTATGGATACAAACAACCTGGTGATTTTGGAGCTTTGCGAAGCCTTTCGAGTCGTTAGCCAAATTGAGGTGAGGGAAGTGCCCTTCCATCCTTGGACATTACCTGTGGGATGGCAGATGCAAGGATGCAAGGACAGTGGGGGCGGGCAAACTTTTAGCATTGTGAACCCGGAAGGGTGCAGCTTCGCAGCTTGTTCTTTTCCTCCTTTGGTCCAAAAGTTCAAGACATGTTCAAGAGTAGAATTTGACACCAAAACCTAAGTCCTGGCACACTATCACTAGCATTGAACTCGAAACAACCACTTTTTGGTTGGGACGTCATTTGCACATGTCTCACTCCCCGCCGCTATCCCATGACAGTTGGCAGGTAGGTCGTCCAAACAACCCTTGGTTTTACAGGTGGACAAGAAGCTCCCGAGGGTTCACGAGATTTCTGGGAGGCAGCGGATGGGGACATAGTGACATCATTGGCTGACCAGCTGACAGGGGGCAATTTGGGCACCAAGCAGTCCAAATCATCATATCCTTGCAGTGATGGATGTTCATCCCCCCAAACGGTCCCAGAAGTATTGATCCAACCCCTTTGGCTATGAATTTCAGGCAGTTGATTGCCGTTGCCACTGATGTCATCGAAGTCTTTCCCTTTCCGTCATCACCTTGGCTTCACCAGAACGGTGAATCTTCAAAGCGCGAAAAAAGAAAATCATCAGTTTCTCTGCAAGCCGAGTTGGCTGATTTTTTGTAGTTTGTGAAGCCTCAACATGTCCTCAAATTTGATCCACATTTCCAGCTGCATTGATCTTGGGAGCCTGGGGTTTGTGAGGTGCATTAGCCCTCCGAGCATCCATCCACTTCGACTGGAGGGCCCTTCAGTTGGTCCCTCAGGGCATTGGAGAAGGCAACAATTTCAGTCATGAAGGTGTTATTCCCAGACGTTTTTTCTGGAATTTGGTTACGGTAATCACAATTTTCTCTATTTAAATGGCCACTTTGGGAATCTCTCATTTTCAGATACCCACATAGATCACATAGTCATTTAGAAACTCAAAGTGTGTGAAACTTCAAATTCAACATGACTTCAGATGTAGAGACCAGATGGTATTGACATCCTCAGGACGGCCCCTAGGGTTCCAACTTTCAGCCAAGGCGCCTATCGCCTCGTTGCTGTTCAACCCGATGAATGACAGCCTGTTGGCGAGCTCTGACACGGCCAGAAGCCCAATTTCCACATCTGATTCCAGTTCAAAGCTGTGGGTCCAGCCCTCCCAGGCTCTTTTCGTTTGGTCATGGGAAACTGAAGCACAGGCGCAGAGACCTTTCAGATCTTTCAGAATTTCAGGGCCCTGCACCTGAAGCTTGACAACTCAGCTTGAGGTATAGTAAATGGTTCCACAGGTTCCTTCAGTTGCAGAGCCGAACTGATTTACTTGGCTTCTCTTTGGACGCAGGCGAGACTACCTCTGAGCCCCTTGCGATCCGTGGGGGGCATCAGGTTATGAACACTGCGTGATTTTGCAGTCGCAGTTCTTTTTGTTGTTGCGGAAATGGAATTGGTCGCAAGGTCCAAGAATCTGAGACGCCTGATAGCCGAAAACCGCAGGTGCCGGCCTGGATCCCAGAGCATATTTCTGCTTTTTCACGCCAAAGAAAAACTCTCCAAGTCAAAAGAAACAGACCACATCTAGGTTGATTAGGTTGGCTTATCTCTGGCAGACCTCAGTCTATTTTCATCCAAAATTGGATGGTTTCCTCAAGGAAAACCACCAGCGAGAGGCCATTTCTATCCGTTTCTGCAAGTTTCCCTGGTGCTGAAAAGGCCTTCACGCCGCCACCGCGGCCGCGGGTCCAAGTGCAGGCAGGGATGAAAAGAGTTGTGCGGAATGGGGGACCACATATGGATTGGACCTTTTTTTTACTCACCATACCAACAAATCGGGGACGATTTGACGAACAAACATGGAGTTTATTATGTAACCGACAAAAGTAGGGGTTTACGCATTTAACCAACAAATATGGGATTGCAGTAAGTCAACATGAAGACACCAATTCAGGGGGGTACCCAGTGTTGACCCATAGCAGAATGGTTTCGCAGCAATTGGTCCAAAGAGATTTGCCTGGCAAAGCTGAATAGCCACCGTTGCAGGACGATCAGAGCAGGTCCGGCATTGGAAAGCCGAGACCGAAAGCTGTTGGAATTGCCAAGCAGTATCTGCCCCAGAACACTATGTTAGATGAAGGGCAAATTGATGTGGTGTCCAGTGAGTTTTCCTCCAATCATTCCATTGAACTTGAAGGTGTCTCTTCCGTTGGGAAGTCCGATCTTGCGACTGAGGCTGTGACTGGCTGTGACTGGGCTTCAAGCTTCAAGGCCAGTGACGATGCGGGTTTGTCCATGGGGGATACCTCAGATTGGCAATTTTTATGTCGAAAATGATGATCCAATGATCAGCTTCTGGGGTATATACGGTATATAAGTATAATAACCCATTTTCAGGCAAACCAGTGTAGAAGTTCTGGCCGTTTGCTAGTTGGGTCAATGTGAAAGGGGTATGGAGATGTTTGCGCTTGGTGAAGACGCACTTCCCTTCTCTGAAGGTCGAGCAGCCTGAGGACTTCGTCTGAGGGCGCGTAAGTTCAATGTAAATTCTGTGAGTCCACACTGTTCAACGGAACAGTTTGAGCCGAGCATTGTGGAATGTTGGGTTTTGGTGCAGTCTTAATTATTTGTAATGTGTAAAGATTTTAAAACTTGAAAGTCCTTGACAGTAGGACCTTGCTGTAACTGATTGCTCAGGCTTATTTGGACACGGTGACACTGTTTCATGAGCAGCTTCGAAGTTGTGCGCTCTTGTATTTTCTGGGGGTGACAGGCGAACTCTGCGAAAGCCCTGGGGCAGAGTGCGCTTGCCGGCGTCAAGCCAGCAGGGAGGAAAATGCCGCGGGAGATGTCCTCACGAATGACCGACAGTTAAGCATTCTTCAGGTTTGTTGAAGTTGAATTCACTAGAGCTTGGGCAAATAAATGGTAAATGAAAGCCAAAGCTGCTATCGCAATATGGTGGCTGTTTGCTTCTCGATATTCGTAATTCGTACCTTTCTTGGTCCAGCTGAAACAGGTAGAGGGTATCAACAGCAAACTCAACTTTGACCCAATACAGAATGCAAGCACACCTAGAAGAGTCTTCAGAATACTTCAGCTGAAGCAAAGAGTCGTCCATATCGTTTCAGCTTTGAGGACGGACATAGGCCAGTTCGAGTTGGGATCTACTCCAATCTCGCTTTATGTTGCAGCCGTACGTCTCCAGCTGCGTTTTTAACGCTTGGAGCTGAGAATCAAAATGGAATTGTGATGCACGATGATGTGGGTATTGGGTCAAGCTTGGGCCAACAAATTTGCTATTCTTGGTATCAACCCATCCATTCTGGAGTCCAATATCTTTGATCCTTAGCTCTGCCGCTGCAACCAAGGGATTTCATGCTCACTTGATCCAATCCGCCAGAAGTCGTTCTCACTTCAGGCAGGGAGAGGGACCGGTTATATTGAATGGGATGGAGTTTGGCAGCAGTTTTCGGGACTTAGTAGGACTTCGGGCAAAAAAAGTGTCACTTTGCGCAGTTTGTTGGACAGCTTAAGACCTGCCAGCTGGCCCCGCGGCACCAGGCTTTCCGCTGGCCTTCGAAATAGCTTCGTGGGTGTGGTCCTTGCAGGTGCACTAGCGATTTTACGGATGGGCTTGGGAGGGCGATACCCGATTTGGATACGTTGGATGTGGCGTCTCAGTTTTTTTGGAACTCAAGCGGACTTTGTTAGACAACTTATTCGAGCGCTGCTACCCCTTTCTGCAAGATTCAGAAGCCAGAAACACTTAGACACCCTTTGATGAGTGCCATGTAAACAAGTTCACATATCAGATATGCAGAGATGTAGCCAACCTTGAACTACTGGAGATAGGGAGTTCAAACAAAACGAACCAGTTGGGAACCTCAAATTTCCGCCGTTCGGATGCCTAGAGATGGCCCGCTGGCGTCGACAGCGGCGCACTCCAGAGCCAGAGCCGCCGCAGTTTTTGGAGGACTACACAACCATTTCAGCAAAACCATGAAAAATCCATAATAATCCATAATTTCTTGGAAACATAGGGTGCAACGATGGGAAATGAATGGAAAGGCCTGTTCCGTTTACCATCCTCTCAACATCAAAGACACCCTCATTCAAATAAGCCTCTCTTCAACTTTCATGGCACTGAAGTGGTGCCGACAGCTATTTTGGTGTGACAACTTGATTGAGGTTCTATATTCGTCCTTCAATCGATTGGTTGGTCAAATATTAAATTTCCATCTTTATTGGCTGACACCCCAGATTTGTGGCTTAGATTTCATTTTTTTGCTGCTTAAATTCACAGAACCCCAAATCCCCCCCCTCCAACACCCTGTTGAGCTCAAATCCTTACATTGCCAAACATAATGCCAGACAGCAAACTTGGATCTTCATGGCTGAAGTGGTAAAACAACGCTTGAAATCCTTAGTACTTGGACTCAAATATCATGCTTTTTGGACTTAATCCCCACATGTTTGTTGATCTCCCAATTGTTCGTGTCAAATCACCAATTTTTGCTGGTGAAATCACCATCATTCACCTTCTGGTTGTGCATCCCTTTAGGAGGCCGTAGGCTTGCGGCGGTTTCATCAGCTCAGCGCTGCGCGGCGGCACAACGAGACCCTGACGCAGCTCCTGGCGTTGCCACCCGAAGACCGGGCCAAAGCACTGGCGACGATGCGAGCCAAAGCGGTGGAAGAGGAGATGAGGGCAGAGCCTTGTGGCAGTTGATCGATTTTCATTAAAAAGACCATGGATGTTATATGATATCAGAATATATTAGGTATGAATATGGTGTTATCATTTTTTTTAATCCAGGTACATCTTAGCATCTTGTTTTGGGATTTGAAAGATACATTTGATTTTAAAGTTCTTTTATGTTCTTTTTGGGTTCAACCCCCACTGTCAATCTAGGCCTGGAAAGACAGTCAAATCTCCTGGATCCACTGAAAACAGTCGAGTTTCTATCAGCGTATTTCTACAATGCGAGTTGATATGCCACCAAGCTCCGTTATCGCAAGAAGCTACTCTGAAAATATGACCTGCAGAGCTCCTGAGAGCCAAGCTGGTGCACATAACCAAGAATTGCCTGACAGATTTTGTTGTTCGACACTGGCTGTTGTTCCCGACTTGATCCAACGATCAGACACAAAATTAAGCCATGATGAGTCCCTAGCCCCTTAGGAAGCGAAGGAATGAAAAGAGTTGAACAAGAATGGTACATACTACTCTATTTCAACGGTCATGTTCGGTCTTACCAGTCTTACCGAGATCCGCTTATTTTGCTTGTTCAATCCTCTAAGGAAGGCAAGTGCGAGAAATGCATGATGCAGAACCAGTACTGTATTTGCGAGTCGATTCAGACGATCCGCAACAAGTCTGAAGATGAGCTGAATCGATGGAACATGAGATTTGTTGTATGGATGCATCACAAGGCAGGGGCGAAAACGCTGGTGGTGTCTCTTCATGTTAATGTTGTTTGAGTAATGTACGGATCTTCGGCGTTAGAGCACCGATCATTACTCAGGAGAGGAGACGAGCATCAAACACTGGAAAGCTGTTGAAGCTCGTGATGCCCGACAAAACTGACATCTTGGTTCATGGTGTTGCAGAAGATGACCAACTTCTAAAAGAGCTGATCCAAGATAGCCGCAACCATTGCTTCGTGGTGTACCCATCAGAAGATGCTGTGCCGCTCACAGCACTTTTCCCAGCGACTGGACCGACTGGAGCGACTGGAGAAAGCTCTGCCCAAGTTGCTGAAATCGTTCCCGTGGCAGTTCTGATTGACGGCACTTGGAACCAAGCGCAGCGGATGCACAAACACTTCGAAGCTATGCAGCATGTGGTGGTTTTCCCTACAGGCCCGGTAGAGTTCAGGATACCTCAATGGCTCGAAACGAATAGGACTACTGCATTACTTGTCCTATGTACAGGAAACTTAGAGACTCAGAAAAAGTTGTACCCAGACATCTTCATTTTTTCAATCATTGTTTCGTCCTTTCTTTATTCGATTTTATTCGCCATTCAGGTCAGTCCAAATTCCATTGGCGTCGTCAATCTCAAGAGGGTCGCATCAGTACCGTGGAAGCGGCTGCTTTGGTCCTGGAGGAACTGGGTCAAAGCGGAGACGGCGATGCTCTGCGGAACGCCTTGGCAATTTTGATGGATGCCCTGGGGCGCCAATGCCACCATGATTCTTGGCGATTGAAAACGGGAGCAAATATGAAGAAATTGAAAAAAGGTGCGGCTTGGTTTGATGATGTTTGGAGAGGCTTACAAAAGTTGTTTGACCCTGCATTGCAGCAGATCTTTATAAATGAATTGGATGGACTTGGATCAAAGTCTGGAACTTGGACTAAAATAGGAAAGACCAGCTACCAGTGTAGTACACACGGTGTTTCTTGTCATCAAGGTGGCCAGTCCGTGAATACATTTGCATCGTGTGTTGTTGTTTGAAGATGTCGTCTGTGAAGTGGTAAATTCCAAACCTGCTGTGAGCATTTGGACTGCCAACTCAGATCAGCACAGAGGGCAAGAGGGAATTTGAACAGAGGATCTGATTAGGGTATCCATGCGAAGATGTTCAGGCCAGGACTCTTATAATCTGGAAGGAGAACTCTGGATGAGGAGACAGGATGATTTTCATCAGTAGATCTTGACAAAGGCATGCCAGTGATGCCGTGTCGGAAAAGGTTCTCAGCCAGGAATTCAGAAGGTCTGGACAAAGCGATTCAGGAGGAACTCTTGGACCAGAAACTCACTATGTTTTTTTTTTAGGACGAGATGTTCCTGTCAGGCCCTTCGAAAGTTTGATTCGAATCTCTGGTATTTTAAGAACCCAAAGTTTGGTCACTTTGTAGAATCATTATAATGTTCAGTCCCTTCCCAGAACCATTTGAGTGGACGTCCTGTGAAAGCTGCAGTCTGGCAAGGACACACTATTCAATCATGAACTACCTGAGCCAACTGGAAAGAAAAAGTTTGCATTGGGAGCCAAGAAGATTCAGAAGATCCTTCCGGGACAAAGAGGGAGTTCCAGCATTTGTGATGATGACTTGGGGTGAAATCAGATGCACCAGACTCCGGTTTTGACATTACCATGAAGTCTGTGAGGGCAATCAAAGTCCGATGACAGGATTTGCAGTACATTCCTGGTGGACCGCGATGGAACATGGCTACAACTCTCAGCTGCAGAAACGTCTTAAGATCTGCCTCGCTTTCAGCAGTTTGGCTGGGCAGGCAGTGGGCGAGGGGTTGGCAACCGTGGGCGAGGACAGGATGTGGCATGATGCGGCATGTTCCAATTGCTGCAAGGCCCTTCACCAACTTTGGTGGCGAGTCCGTGGATGTCGATGCTGATTATTCCAGCTTCTGATCCCAGCAGCTGGCGCATTGCCTTCCGAGCTGAGCTGCAAGCTATTCAGAAACGGTGATTGAAATCAGTGGAAAAGGCCTCGTCTCATCAATTCGGCTTAGTACCCTGAGAGCCAGGTACTGCGGTTCCTTGCTGCCGATGTTGGATGTATTTGCCGAAAGAACCAGAAGAAATACATTCCTTTGACTACTTTGAAGCGTCGCTTGTTTGTCTTCGTTTTGCTGATGCTCGAAACCTTTCTTTCCAAGCCTTCAGCTCAAGTTCAAATCATGTCGATGGCATGCACCATGGTGTATGAACACGTCCTTGCAAAGCTCCACAGAAGTTGTCAAATGTGACCAGAAACAGAAGTGTCAAATGGACTGTACTGATCCATCAGGGTTCGCCGTAAAAAAGTGTTTTGTAATCAAAATTGTGACATCTTGCTGTTGCTATGCTGCGTCGCGCAAGCAGAGGATCAGGAGCTGCTTCAACCGTGGGTTCTTTTGCTTTCTGCCAAGCCGGGCAGTTGCAGTATCAGTTACCCAAAGCAGCGCATAGGAGCCCTCGTGGCATTGCTGGCAGTTTTTGGGTTTCTCGGCAGCCTTTCATTGACAAGGTGACTTGAGTAGCAACCAGGAACTGGACCGGTAAGTAGAAGATCTGGAGGATTCACATATTGTTCAACACTAAGACTCACTAAGAGGTACAAAGGGTCGCAAATGAGACACATTCATACTTCACATTACTTCACTATATTCCTTCATACGAAACTTTGCAAGTCCACAAGCAAGTTCCATTCTTTCCATGTTTGCCCCGCCAAATGAGACTTTGCACGAAGTAGCACATGGATGATGAAAGCCAGGTTTGCCACCAGCTTTCTGCAGCTTGGTGCTGTTCAAAATCGAGGCCAACTGTTGTTTCTTTGTGTTTTGTTGCTGATATGTTCGTACGGTTTGAGATTGCCAGTGAAAAAAGGCCGTTAGTGAGGCATGTTGCCAATCTTCAAGAGAGGTTTGGCAGGGCTGTGATTGGTCCGCATCAGGTGCCGGCCGTCGCGAAGTCCTATCAGTGCTTGCCGTGGCACCTGTCTTGAGTTGCTCGTCAATGAAATCAGCCACATCATTCAGCTTTTTCCGCATGTTCTTCACTGAGGCAGCGTTCCAGATGCTGCTTTTGCTAAAGACCTGTCCGGCAACTACGATGACACTTGGTTTTTGTACATCTCTTGCACATCTTTTCCGCTTTCAGATGCGAAAGAACGTGGTGGCAAACTTCTACGGACCGTCCGACTGATGGGGCTCCTTGGGCTAAGGATCCAGAATATCCTGGATGCAAAAGGAGAATCATCACTCTGAACGATGGCGAAGTACAAGTCAACATGAAGGACTGAAAGCTTGCATATGATGTCCTAATGTCCTGCGTTTCTTTTTCTGTAATTGCTTAGATGTTGTAGCAGATTGACATGACTTGCGGCTTTGCAGGATCCTGACCGAGGAAGATCTTGCAAGGGAAAGCAAGAAGTGAAATATGTTTTGAAAGGCGCGGATACTGAGGGTACTCCATGTAGCTTCACGCAGAAATCGCTTTCCAGAGAGTAGAAAACAGTCCTTTGTTCACAAGGCAAATCCAGATTCAGCCTTTAGAACGCAATCTTGACAGCATCAATTGCCGTTTCCCTGTGTCAAGATCAGTGCCGCAGCTGCCGTGGCCATGTGGCGTGGCAGGTTCCGTTTCCGGCGATCAAGTCACCATTGACTTTGCTGATAGAGGCGGTGGCAAAGTTGTCCCTTGGAGCCAGAGTCTGGAGGGGATCGTTTTGCAAGCGGTTGACTGGTTTTTCAGTATCAACACAGAAAGAAACAACTGAAATTTGCTACACATGGCATCAAAACACATGGCATCAATACATATAAACAAATATACGTATCTATCTATATTTATCTATCTATCTTTATCTATCTATCTTTATCTATCTATCTTTATCTATCTTTATCTATCTTTATCTATCTTTATCTATCTTTATCTATCTTTATCTATCTTTATCTATCTTTATCTATCTTTATCTATCTTTATCTGTCTTTATCTATCTCTATCTATCTCTATCGATCTCTATCTATCTCTATCTATCTTTATCTATCTTTATCTATCTTTATCTATCTTTATCTATCTTTATCTATCTTTATCTATCTTTATCTATCTTTATCTATCTTGATCTATCTTGATCTATCTTTATCTATCTTTATCTATCTTTATCTATCTTTATCTATCTTTATCTATCTTTATCTATCTTTATCTATCTTTATCTATCTTTATCTATCTTTATCTATCTTTATCTATCTTTATCTATCTATCTATCTTTATCTATCTATCTTTATCTATCTATCTTTATCTATCTATCTTTATCTATCTATCTTTATCTATCTATCTTTATCTACCTATCTTTACAAAAATAGATAGATAGATAAAGATAGATAGATAAAGATAGATAGAAAAAGATAGATAGATAGATAGATAGATAGATAGATAGATAGATATAGATAGATAGATATAGATAGATACATATAGATAGAGAAAGATATATATAGATAAAGATAGATATAGATAAAGATAGATAGAGATAAAGATAGATAGATAAAGATAGATAGATAAAGATAGATAGATAAATATAGATAGATAAAGATAGATAGATAAAGATAGATAGATAAAGATAGATAGATAAAGATAGATAGATAAAGATAGATAGATAAAGATAGATAGATAAAGATAGATAGATAAAGATAGATAGATAAAGATAGATAGATAAAGATAGATAGATAAAGATAGATAGGATAGATAGTAGATAGATAGTAGATAGATAGATAGATAGATAGATTGGATAGTCAGGATAGAAAAGACAGAAAGGATAGATAGATAGATAGATAGGATAGAAAAGGCTAGATATCATAGATAGGATAGATAGGATAAATAGGATAAATAGGATAGATACGATAGATAGGATAGATAGGATAGATAGGATAGATAGGATAGATAGGATAGAAAGGATAGATAGGATTGATAGGATTGATAGGAACATAGGTAGATAAATAGATAGGTAGATAGACAGATAGAGATAGAAAGACAGACAGACAGAAAGACAGAAAAACAGACATACAGACAGACAGACAGACAGATAGATTCAATAGATTAGATAGATTAGATAGATTAGATCGATTAGATAGATTAGATAGATTAGACAGATTAGACAGATTAGATAGATTGGATAGATTAGAAAGATTAGAGAATTAGATAGATTAGATAGAATAGATAGATTGGATAGATTAGATAGATCGATAGATCAGATGGATTAGACAGACTAGATAGATTAGATAGATTAGATAGATTAGATAGAGTAGATAGAGTAGATAGATTAGATAGATTAGGTAGATTAGATAGATTAGATAGGTTAGATAGATTAGATAGATTAGATAGGTGGATGGATGGACGGAAGGATGGACGGAGGGATGGATGGATGGATGGATCGATAGATAGAGAGAGAGAGAGAGACAGAGACAGAGAGAGAGAGAGAGAGACAGAGATAGAGATAGAGATAGGTATAGAGATAGATATAGAGATAGATATAGAGATAGATAGATAGATAGATAGATAGAAAGGTAGATAGGTAGATAGGTAGATAGGTAGATAGGTAGATAGATAGATACATCGATCGATCGATCGATAGATAGATAGATAGGTAGATAGGTAGATACATAGATAGATAGATAGATAGATAGATAAGATAGATAAGATAGATAAGATAGACAGGATAGACAGGAGAGACAGGATAGACAGGATAGACAGGATAGATAGGATAGATAGGATAGACAGGATAGACAGGATAGATAGGATAGATAGGATAGAAGGGATAGATTGGATAGATTGGATAGATTGGATAGATTGGATAGACTGAATAGATTGGATAGATTGGATAGATTGGATAGATTGGATAGATTGGATAGATTCGATAGATTGGATAGATTCGATAGATTCGATAGATTCGATAGATTCGATAGATTAGATAGATAAGATAGAGTGGATAGATTAGATATATTACATAGATT